ACAGCCGGCCTCCCCACTGGTTTGCGGTCTGGCTCCCAGCTCCCGCTGAACTGCGTCGCAAACTGCGTTGCCCTCAGGCCTGTCCTGCGGAGGAGGACAGGGAGGCCCCGTGGGGCGCTGGGGGCCCTGTGGGAGCAGTGGGATGGGAAGGAGCTTTTATGTTGTATGCCTAACCAGTGTCATTAAACCTGTTCGTGTTTGAAACATGCTAACACTTCTAGATAAGCCAGTTCTGTTCTGAAAATGTGAAAACAGAGTAGTTTTTTTTAAAATTTAGTTCAAATATAGTATTTAAAAACCTGTTGCAAGGTGGGCCCAGTGGCTCATGCTGTAATCCCAGCAGTCAGGGAGGCCGAGGCAGGAGGATCGCTTTAGCTCAGGAGTTCTAGACCAGCCTGAGTAAGAGTGAGACCCTGTCTCCACAAAAAATAAAAAAAATGAGCCAGGCGTGGTGACATATGTAATCCCAGCTACTTGGGAGGCTGAGGCAGGAGGATCACTTAAGCCCAGGAGTTGGAGGTTGCAGTGAGCTGTGATGGTGTCACTGCATTCCAGCCTGGGCAACAGAGCGAGAACCCCCCTTTTAAAAACAAAATAAAACACACATGTTCCATGCATAGGTACACGCGTTAATTTGTTGAATTAACTTTGAAATCTATGGTTAGTTAGCAGCTCTGTTTTTCAAGCACTGTTATGTTTGTTCTATAACACTCTGTGAGGTTTGGTGAAAAGTAGATAGATAAAGCAGTAACTATTTATGACATTTACTTGTAAGAGCAGGAGCCAAGTTGGTTAAAGTGGGTGAGGCCGTGTGTTGCTCCTTGCTGTGGTCACGTTTCATACTGAAGCCTCTGCTGTCCCCTTGGTCCACGTGAACTGCCCGTGTGCTGTGCGGCTCACAGGCTGGGCGTGTCTCATGGCTCCTGCTGTGCCTGCCAGACGGCGTGCTCACCGCGGAGAGCGAAGGGCAGTGGCCGCACGGCCCAGAGATGAGCAGCTGCTCCTGGCGAGGGGTGGAGAAGCAGAGGTGGAGTATCTTCTGCTTGGAGACCAGGAGCACAGTCCTTTCCAGAGCGATTGTTCCAGGATCCACAAACTGAAGCGCTGGAGCGAGTGGGCTGGTCCTCACTGGAGGGTCCCCGAGGGAGGGTGGCTGACCCACCTGCGCCTGTGGCGCTGGCTCTGACACTGGGGAGAGATGCCTGCAGGCGAGCGTGCTCCTCTCACCCCCAAGGCGGGCTGCGCTTAGGTGACGCAGGAGGAAGAGTGGGTGGGACAGAGCCCTCCCCCTGGCTGCGCACTGCGGTGCTGGGCCGAGAGGAAGGGAGGCCACGCTGGGAGCCCCTCCCCGTTCTGCAGAGCAGGCTCCTCCAGGCTGGGAGTGAGGCAGGAAGCAAGCTCGGCCTGGCCGTCTCTGCGCCTGGAGTGAAGCTTGGTGGGGCAGAGCGGGAGGCTCCTGGTTCTGTCTCTGTGCCCGGGGCCCTGGTCTGGCCTCAGCAGGGACAGGTGGCAGTGGCTGGTGACACCTCAACGGTGTCGCGGCTGGCTTGTGAGAATGGAAGAGGATTTTCAGTTTCTTCCTTGTATACGTTCCATTCTTATTAATCAATGCTCCATAACTAAAAAATAGTAATTTAGGGCAAATATGAGAAATATTAAGAATTCAGTATGGACATTTTGGTATTATGGGCTGGAGTGAGAGTTGTGAAGGTGTGAGCCTCCGTGTCTCTCGTGGGGGATATTCAAGGAAGGCGGGAACTTCTCAGTCGGTGTCTTTTCCTAGAACGCACGATTTTATGGATCTTAGAAAATGAAGCTGTTACCAATATGTAAATGTAATACTTAATCTTCCATCAATTCTGAGAATATATTTAGAATAAAATATTAGTTTTTTGTTAAGAACAGCAGTTATATAATTTTCACATTAATACATGTCTTGAACAGTTTAATGATTTCTGAGATTTTGTTAGCAAAAGCCATCATGAAACAGAGCCATTCTTAGAATGTTCATGCTGTAGTAAGATGAATTCTCTTTAGTTTTAAACCTGCATTCTTTTTTTCTCATTTGGCCAGGGTTTATTATATAATAAAGAGTTTAGAGGACAGGCGTGGTGGCTCACGCCTGTAATCCTAGCACTCTGGGAGGCCGAGGCGGGAGGATTATTTGAGCTCAAGAGTTCGAGACCAGCCTGAGCAAGAGTAAGACCCTGTCTCTGCTATAAATAGAAAGAAATTAGCTAAACAACTAAAAATAGAAAAAAATTAGCTGGGCATGGGGCACGTGCCAGTAGTCCTAGCTACTCGGGAGGCTGAGTCAGAAGGATGGCTTGAGCCCAGGAGTTTGAGGTTGCTGTGAGCTAGGCTGACGCCACGGCACTCTAGCCTGGGCAACAGAGTGAGACTCTGTCTCAAAAAAAAAAAATAGTTTAGAGAGAAAAGGGGATGATTTCCTGTTAATAGAGTTCTTCTGAAATTGTGTTTTCAGTTTCAACTAGTATAAGGAGTATTAGCAGAAAGCACTGCAGATACTAATACTGGATCTTTGAAGGTCTATCAAGTAGTTAACTGCTTTCCAAAGAAGTTTTTTTGTTATTGAGACAGGGTCTCACTCTGTCACCCATGTGGAAGTGCGGGCCATCACCACAGCTCATAGCAACCGCAAGCTCCTGTACGCAAGCGATCCTCCTGCCTCAGCCTCCCAAGTAGCTGGGTCCACAGTGTGCACCACCGTCCCCGGCTAAGCTTAAAAATTTTTTGTTTTGTAGAGACAGGGCCTCACTGTTGCCCAGGCTGGTCTCGAACTCCTCTGGTAACGGTTGCTTCCCTCCCTTGCTCTTTTGTGTGTCAGGCACAGTTCTTCCACAAGCAGGGGTTGTCCCCACTCGCCTCTCTCCCTGGCCCCCCGTCTGTGCCAGCATGGCTCCTGGATGCTTTTTTCACCCTGGACTGTGACCCGAGGCTGGCAGTGCTGGCTCTGTTGCTGGGGCGCTCCAGCGTTGCCCGTTGCAGGTCAGCCTCCCTGTCCCCTCAGCGTGCGGCTGTCTCTGCGTCTTTGAGCATTTCTCGCTGTCTGACACCACAGCATGCGCCCGACTTCTTTTCCCTGCCCCGTCCTGGAATCTGCCACTTCCTGGGAGTCTCGGTCCCTCTTGGAGGGGGTCAGATTTGGGATCCGGGAAGCTAGGCTGTTCCTCTGGGCGTCAGAGCAGTGTCTGGCCCCCGAGCCCCTGCTTGTGCCCCTGCTAACAGTTTCTCGATCAAAGGACACTGCAGCTCCAGCCCAGCCCCGGCTTCCTGGAACACCCTCCCCGCGCAGCGTGTCCACCCGTCTGTTTGCCCCTCTGCATGCGTGTCCACCCGTCTGTTGCCCCTCCGTATTCGTGTCCACCCGTCTGTTTGCTCCTCCGCATGCGTGTCCACCCGTCTGTTGCCCCTCCGTATTCGTGTCCACCCGTCTGTTGCCCCTCCGCATGCATGTCCACCTGTCTGTTGCCCCTCTGCACTCGTGTCCCGCAAGTTCCGCACCCCTGTGAGCAGCAGGCGCACTGCCTGTGCAGGACGTCTGGGCCTGGCCCCCCCCTGCCTGGCCTGCAGACCCTGTCACTCGTCTGTCCCAGGCCTCAGTCTGTCGACTGCTTCTCTTTGCTTCACACACAGAGCCGTTTGCTCCTTTCACAGGTGGTTCTGCAGGTTCGCCAGGTTCACGGGCCGTGGCCCGCAGCCGCGGTAGCGAGCAGGTCCTGCGCTCAGTCCCCAGGTCGGGTTGTGGTCCCTGTGGTCTGGTCACTTCCAGGACATCTCAGAGATGGAATCGCATGGCTCCGTGGCCGCTCCTTTCTGTTGGCGACAGCGTCTCATGGTGCGGACACAGAGGCCGTGGGGCTGCCGGCACCCCGTCAGGGCCGTTCTGCCTTTCCGCTCCCTGGGTGCCGCGTGCCCGGGCCGAGGGTCCTCCCTCCACCTTTAGCGCTAGCAAGTCTGGCCTTGTCCTCTTCGCAGACATCCCTGGTTCTCCTCTTCTCCTCCTGCTTCCGTTTCGGTTTCTGAGACGAGCTCTGCCTGTGTTCGGCTGGACTCGAGCTCGGGACTCCAGTGAGTCTCCAGCCTCGGCCTCCTGCAGCGCTGGGGCTGCAGGTGTGCACCACGCACCAAGCACCGGCCGCTGCCTCCGTCTCAAGAGGCTCTTGGTTACAGGGGCTGCCAGACCCAGTGCTGCAGGGTCATCTTGTCACCTGAGGTCAGCGGGCACCAGCCTCTCCTCCCTCCTGCCACGTAGGGACACGTGGTCAGAGGTCCTGGGGTCAGGACGTTACGTCTCCGGGAGGTGTCATTCTGCCCCCAGGGGGCGCTGACAGATGTGGTTGGGCTCAGGACGCAGTTGTTGAAGCCGGAAGAGCTGGGGACTTGGGAGGAGGGAGGACGGGAGTCAGGGTCAGGGGTGGGCCTGGGACTGTCGGGGAGTTGCCGGCCCTTGGGGGCCACAGAAAGGCCACCCCCAGCCTGCGCCGTAGTCCCCAGCGTGCAAGTGCCTGGGCCCAAAACAAGGGGCCGGCAAGAAGGCCAAGCCCCAACCCAAGAAGGCCAAAGCAACTGGCCGCCCAACCGGCCGAACAACGGGGCCGGCCGCCGCCGCAAGGGGAACCGCCGGGGGGGGGGGATGACAGATGCAGCCCCAGGGCCGCCTCCCCGCCCGGACCCGCCCTGTGGGCCTTCCTGCCCTGTGGGCCTTCCTGCCCTGTGGGCCTTCCTGCCCTGTGGGCCTTCCTGCCCTGTGGGCCTTCCTGCCCTGTGGGCCTTCCTGCCCTGTAGGCCTTCCTGCCCTGTAGGCCTTCCTGCCCGGCCTGACCCCCCCCCCTCGAGCCGAGCCGTGTTTCTGTGGGGTGAGCTCGGAAGTCAGGGGGCCTCAGTCACGAAAGAACAGAAGAAAGAGAAAGGCCTCCTGATGTCACATCTGTATTTGTGAACTTCCTTTTCACTGGGCGTCTCCCTCTTCTCCACAGCGCGCTGGTGATCGCCGCGGTGTTTGACCGGAACGTCAACTGCAGAAGAGCCGCCTCTGTAAGTTTCCTCACGTTGACGTTTCTTTACACGAGACGGGGGTGGGCTCTGTGACCGTCCTGTCGGTGAGTAGGGCCACCATCTCCCTGTCGCTCCCCGTCGCTGCTCCCCAGCGAGTCCCTGTCACTGCGGTGCTGTCCCTGGCGAGCTCACGCCTCCATAGCAGGAGAGACCTGGGAGGGGCAGGCTGGGGACTGCCAGGAGCGGGGTCACGCGGAAATGCTGGTTCCTGCACACGCGGGATTCCGGGGCGGGGGCCATCTTGGCTGTGAAGGGCAGGTTGGGATGAGGTCCCCGGCCCCGGCATTCCAGAAGAACCGCAGCCCTCACCGTGGTGTCATTGGGGGACACGGGCTGTGGGATGGTGCCCAGTGACCAGTCTCGGCTCAGGGCAGCCCTGCTCTGAGGGAGGGGAGAAAGGGCTCAGCGAGCGTCCCTGCACGTGACGGCAGGACACCTCCCCTGCTGGTGGCCCTGAGCCAGTGGTGCTGGAGCTTTCCATTGCCCAGTGGGCCTCACGCCCCACGTCGGGGTGTCTGGGTGCTTCTGGTCGGGCTATTGGGAACTGGGCCGCAGGGACGTTCACGCTGGGGTTTTGTGCCAAGGACGTGTTCTGTTTCTCTGCATAAACGCGAAGTCGCAGCTGCCGGTCACACGGTGGTTGGCGTTGGGTTCTGCGAGAAGCTGCCGGCTGTCTCATGGTCCCACACAGCCCTCCAGGCTTCCCCCTCTCCCGCCCTCGCCAGTTGGCGTTCGGTGTGGCCACCGTTGAGTTTTGGCCCTTCCGATAGGTGTGGGGAGACCGTGTGGCGTGAGTGGGCGTTTCTGCCGGGGCTGAGGACGTGGTGCATCTTGTCATGTGCTTGTTTGTCATCTGTGTCCTCTTTGCTGAGATGTCTGCTCAGCTCCTGTGCTCGTTTTCTAGTTGGATTTTTTTTTGTTATTGGATTTTGAGAGCTCTTTGTATATGCCAGACACTGGTCCTTTATTGGATGTGTGGTTTGTACATATTTTTCCCCGGGCTGGAGCTCATCTCTTCATCCTATTAAATAAGGTCTTTCTCAGGGCACGAGTTTTTAATTTTGAGGAGGACTAGTGGGTACATTTTTTCTCTTGAAGATGATGTTTTCAGTGTCGAGCCTGAGAGCTCTTTGCCTGGCTGCTGCTCCCTCTGGTTTTGTCCTGTCCGCTCTGTCAGCGCACTCTGCTGTGGTTCCCGTCCACGTGGCTGCCTGGCCGTGGGTGGGGCGATTCCTCTAATTTCATCTTCTGCAGTGTGGTTTTACCTGTTCCAGGGCTGTGCTTTCCCATGTAGATCTCGTGTTATTTTTATCTTTTAAATGATGTCACTAGAGGAGTAAACATGTTCCTAATTATTGTGTGTTATTTAAGTTAACATTACAGTATGTCTTTTTTGCATTGTCTTTTAGCTGATTTTGTTTCTTGCTTTCCTTAATGAACTTACCACAAAGGTTACAAAATGGCAAACAGCAAAAGTCAGGTCTCCTCCTCTCAGTTTAAAAGCCACACGAGAGCCACCCATGGGGCACTGTTCTCCTGTTCCCCACCTGCACGTGACCCTCAGGTCTGGTTCTTGGTCAGACGCTGGGGTCTCGCGCCTCAGTTTACTGTCACGCCATGGGGCGGGTCTCTGCAATGCTCCTGTCTGGGCCTTGCTCTCAGGACACCCTCAGGCGAGTGTGGGGGGGTTTCCACCTGGGCAGGGGCTGCCCCTCCCGGAAGCCGGCCGGCCCATGTCCCTGCTCTCCCGCACACCCGGTGCTGGTGGCCTGTATCATGCGGTTGCGTATGTAGCTTTACTGGATCCTTCATGTGCTGTCATGTCTGCAGCCCTGTCTGGAGGACTGTGAGCCCCAGGTGCTTTGGGAGGGTCAGGGTGCCAGTCCCGGGACGCACAGGAGCACACAGGACGGGAGACGTGGTCATCACTGTGCAGATGGCTGGGTCCCCCTAAGGGATGACTGAGTAGGAAAGGGAGGGGTGGGAGAGTAGGGCCTGCTGTGGAGATGAGATGCTCCCTGGTGTTTAGTAAAGCCGGGTTTTGACGTCTGCTGCAGCCCCTGCTGAGTGCTGGGCCCAAGAGCCTGTCTGTGGCTGTGGTGGCTGCGGGCGGTGTGCCCTCGAGAAGGCAGCCTGCAGCCACCAGCTGACAGACGTCCCTTTCTCCTTCCACCTCTGTCGGCCGGGGCTCCCATGTGGGTGTCGGCGTGGAGCTCCGTGTTCGCAGTTAAAGGCCACTTTTCAGGGTGTGTCTGATTTTATACACCTGAGTTCTTAAATTGTGGTTTTAAAAAGTGCCAGGATGTAAAAACGAGTAACAAGCCACCCTTGAGGCCCTGTGCAGCCAGTACTGGGGACTTTTATTTAAAAAGTCAAGCCATGGGTCATTTATATTGCGCTGTGTTTGTTTTGAACTTATCTCCTGTGTTTGGTGGAAAGCAAACCTCGCTCACCTGCCCTCTGTTCTTTGCTTGCAGGCCGCCTTCCAGGAGAATGTGGGGAGACAGGTATGGCCGCTTTTAAACCTTTATTCCTAACACTTCCTGTAGGCCGAGAGGTGGAAATGGTGAGAGCTGTAAACTTGGTGTCTTTGCATTGTGAGCTGTGGGTAAGGAACTCACCTCCTGGTGATCTAGCAGACACAGGGATTCAGGTCACAGATTCGTGGCGTGGCCCACAGTGACATTGACGTGTGTTTTAAACAGTCAGTCCTGTGTTTCACGGGAAACCTGCATGCAGAAGTGATTTTACACATGGGGTCAGAGACTCATGCTGTAGGCATTGCCAAGGGCCACACTATGTGGGCTCAGCAGGCGTGGCAGGTCCTGGGACTGCATGCCGCCTGGCCTCCCCAGGATGAAGAGCTGACCTCTCCCTGGCTCAGTACCCAGCTTCCAGAAGCTTCCATGTGCTTCTGCTGCATGGCCTGGGCATTACCAGTTCTTGGTGTGAGGAAGGACCAGTGACAGCCATGGGCCCAGAGGCTGGGGACCTCCTCTGAGACTTCTGAAGTCTGCCCATGGTTGATGGCTGGAATGCTTTCTACTTTTGGTTTAAAGTTTGTCATTTATTTTCTTTTTTTAGAAAATTATTTATGTTTCCATATTTTTAAGTATTTTTGCCAGAGTGGTATTAGTGATAATGTGCAGACTTTGGGCCTGGTCTGTGGGTGTGGGTAGTAGGGCCCCTGCTCCCCATTTTGGAGTCTTGGGGGCTCACCGCTTGTCCTCCGTGCATCTGGGGGTGGGTGTATCATCCCTTCCACTCTGACGACAGCGTGCGAGGTGTGGGCGCTGGTCCCGGCTTTGCAGCCCAGGCAGGCACCGGCGTCCCTGTGTGTCTGGGCCCAGACCAGGCCTGCGCCTGCCGGAGCGAGCCGGAGCAAGCTGTGCTGGGGTCTCTGGGCCCAGACGGGCGGGTCGGTGGGGATCAGCCTCTTTGACACTAGACACCTGGTGTCTGTATGGCACGTGTTTAAGGAAAGGTCTCTTGTGGCATTCTAAAGTTGAAATATTTGTTTGAAAACAAATACTTTTAAGTGGTTTAAGTAATTTTGGTGCAGCATCTGGGCCAGGACAGGCCCTCAGAAACTCGGTGTGACTTCCAGTCTTCACATGCGTGGCCCCCGCAGCTGTGGTCTGAGTGTCGGTCTGCGTGAGGCCTCTGGGATCCCGAACGTGAACGTCTGCAGATACGGCTGCTGGACTTTGTGAAATGCCTTTGCCCATGCGAGTGCTTCTTCCTCTGTCCAATCTCACTTTCCCACTAGGGCACTTTCCCTCACGGAATCGACATTCTGACCGCCGCGGACTACTTTGCTGTCGGCAACAGATCCAACTGTTTCCTGGTCATCAGGTAAGCATTTAATGTCTGTCACAAAAATACAAGGTTCTTTGTGATTTGGATGTCAAAAAAAGTCAGTTTCCGCCATTGTCTTTCCTCACCCTGTGCAGCCCACCGAGCGTAAACGTAGAGTTCTGTGTGAAAGTTAGAAAGCGGATGTCTCGGGCGCGGAAGCGCCTGTGCCCGTTGATGAGACAGACCTTGTGCTCTGCGCAGGCGGGCCTTTGCTCTGTGCTAGACAGGCGCTGCCGGGAGAAGGTCGGCTTGTAGCTCTTTCTGGCAGTTATTTTTCTGTTAATATAATAGTCCTGTTTTATTAGTGCTGGTTCTGGGTAGGGCTTGGGATTGTGCAGGGAATAGCCACAAGCCACAAGCTGCATTTCCTTGGGTTTCTCAAAATGAAATCTTGCGTTAGAATTGACTGCATTCCTTTTTGTGTTTCAATAAAAGTGTTTCGAAGTTGGCGTTATCTCTGGATTGTTTGTGAGATGAGTAAGGGAGAGGAACTTGGGAAATCAGGTCAAGGAATAAATATTTAACGTCCCTAACTGCAGTTTGCAGAAATAACACCAAATTATTTCTACTTATATAAGTTAAGTACTGGGGGAAGTTATTTCACTTGTCTTAGTAACCCATTGCAACATCCACACAAAAAAGGGTGTGTTTTTATGGAATGATTTATTTGCCATGAATTTGGAGAAGAAACATACCCCATGCATTTTTTATCATTAACCATTCTATATCCTAAGGATAGATTCCCCGAGAGCCCTGTCGTGCAGACTGTGCAGAAATGACATTTCTCCATAACCAGCATGGACAGTTTTTTTTAAATGTAGCATTTGGCTTCTTTCCCAGGAATAGTCTGTGACTGAAATTTTTACACCCTTTCCACCCTTCTTCAACAGTGGACAGCCTTGTGGGCCTCCCCAGTTCTTCCCTGGCTTCGTTCTGTTTTCAGTGCTTATTAGCACCGGGACCACACATCACCATTTTATGTGAAGAATCCACCACCTTTTCCCATGAGTTTCTTGGGAGATATGAACTGTCCGATTTTGAATCAAAGCGTCGTTTATTATATCTCAAATAAGAAGCAGTACAGTTAAGCAAAGCATGCGCCTAAGCTGTCCACACAGTTTTGCCATCTTTACAGTTGCTTGTTTACGCCAGCAGCAAAGAAGCCTGGAGAGTCAGTGGATGAAATCGCCAGAGGCGTTTCCCACAGCTTGTTGAGAATTGAACAGTTTTTCCTTGCAAGAAGTGGTCCAAACCCTGGAAGAAGTGATAGTCAGTTGGTACAAGGTCTGGTGAATATGGTGGATGACAGAGTTTCCACGTCCAGCCTCTAGTTTGAGCAGCACTGTTTGTGTGACATGGGGTTGAGTGTTGTCTTGCAAGAGGACTAGCCTGTCTCTGTTGACCAGTCTTGGCTGCTTAATTACGAACATCCTCCTCATTTCATCCAATTGGTTGCAGTAGACATCTGCTGATTAACCAGGTTTCATGAAGTTGTAGTGGATAATAACCAGCGCTGGACCACCAGACAGACACCATTAGCTTTTGGTGGTGAATATTTGGTTTTGGACTATTTCAGCACTTCATTGTTATCCAACCATTATGCCAAATGCTTGTGATTGTCAAAAAGAATCCATTGTTCATTACACGTAACAACATGCTGTAGAAATAGTTTGCGTTTATGTTGTGACAGCAAAGAAAGGCAAGCTTCCAGATGATTTCTCTTGTGATGCTTATTTAATTCATGTGGTATCCATCTGTCCAGCTTCTTTACCTTGCTGATTTGTTTCAAATGATCCAACATTGTTGGAATAGTGATGTCAAACCTTGCTAACTTACAGGTAAGTTGTGATGGGTTCATTTCCACTACAGCTTTCATCATTATCCACCTTGGTCTCAGGTCGCCCACGTGGTTCACTTTCAAAATTAATGTCACCAGAATGGAACCTCTCAAACCATCGACGTTAGCCGTATCCTTCCCAAACACCGCTATGATATCTTGAGCAGTCTGCCCATTGGTTCCACGATGGAACTCATATTCAAAAATAGCATGAATTTTTGACTTATCCATGATTTCATAAAAATTGCCCCAAAAAATGTTTTTGAAAGATAATCACAAGCCAAACCACATGTTTGAAAGACTGAGGATGTATTAATACCTTCACAATAGGAAAAAACCCAAAAAGTGTCAAAGTGAGATGTCAGAGATATCAACTGTCAAACTTAGAACGTAAGTAAATCGGACATTTCATACTTAATAACCAAATACGTTCTCGGCTGATGAACTCTGACCCCTGGGAGTTTGACACATGGACACAGGGCTTCCACCTGCCCCAGCTGTTTTTCTGGTGTAACCACCATTCTTGGGACTTCTGGTCAGTTTGTCCTCTTGCTGTTGTATATTTTTTCCACTGATTTCTGACATCTTCGGCATTGAGATCGTTTCTAAAATGCATTTTGCTGTATTTTGTCATCTAGTAGTTTGCTTCTCAATAATTTTGCATGTTCATGTCCCGTAAATTCCTCAGACCACGAGGGCCTCACCGTGCCCTGACTCCGTCAGCAGCACCCACGTACTCAGCTGTTCTTGCAGCGCTGTTTGCTTCATTCCCAACCCCAGCTGGAAACCCTGTCCTGCCACTTCCGCACCCCTGGCCGGTTTCAGGCATTCTTCTTCCCGCACACCCTGCCCATCAGCCGGCGTCCAGCCGTCCCCGAGTGAACACTGCGGAGGCCCCCAGCTGACCTGCCTCCACAGGCCCCACCCACCCTCTCCTGCCCTGCTGTGCCTGTGGGCCCGGGCCTGTCCTGTCTCTCACCTACAGGCTGCACGCCCGTCCCCGAGTGCTCCTGCGGCGGGGCGTTCGGGAGTGTCTTTTACAGTCAGCCTTGCCGGGACTCAGGTGCCTGCTCTCCGCCTGCCGCTCTCGTGAGGCTCTGGGTGTCCGCCCACCTCTCTGGAGTCCCGCGCTGCGACACCTGCTGCCGGCCTGGCTATGCGCCGTCTGCCGGAGCGTGGGCTGGGTGCCCGAGGTACCTGTGTTGGAGCCCCAGGTGGTGCTGTGCCCAGCGGGGCGCTGGGGCCCCTTCTGATGGCTTGTCCACTGCCGCGGTGTTTCTGTTCGTTCCCGACTTTATCTTGGGCTGTTTCATCACCTTCCCATCCGCTTTTGGAGGAGGCTTTCTGCTCGTCTCTCTCAGCGGGGAGAGAGCAAAGCCTCTCCCCGCTGACCCTCCCAGGCCACATGTCTTGCCGCACACACGTGTGTCCACCAGCATCTGTGTGACTGTGGGACGAGGCGGGTTCAGTCAGCACGCATGAGTGACGGGAGGTTCTAGACACGTGCCCATTTCGAGTGGGCAGTGCGTGTGCCTGGCGTGTGGTGCAGAGATTGCAGTGTTCAGGGGAGGCCAGGTCTGTCCCTGCTCTCCCCCCAGCCACCGGGTTCCTCTGTCCCACCTGCGTGTCCTGCAGGCTCTGTTCACGCCAGGCTTGCGGGCAGACCGGCTAACTGCCTTGCAGGTGCCGTTATAGAGGCTGCTGAGACGTTAATAATGACGCTCAGCTGTGAAGAAGGAGAGGGCAGCACGCCAGGACACGGTGCGGCCCACGCCTGCACGGGGGGCTCGGTCCACGCGGGTCCTTGCTGGCCCCAGGTCTGTCCAGTCTTTTGCTGTGGTAAACAACGTAAAGCAAATATTTCTGTGTATATAATTTCTCACTAGCATGATTATAACTGAACGGATTACCAGAAGTGGAATTGCTGAACTAGAGATTGTTTATGTTTAGATTTCCTGGGTGAGCCAGGCGGTGGCTCGGGCCTGTAATCCCAGCACACCAGGAGGCCAAGGCGGGAGGATCGCTTGAGCCCAGGAGTTTGAGGCAACTCGCTCGGCAGTGAGCTGTGGTTCTGCCACTGCCCTTGTGCCCAGGCAGTAAAGTTAGACCCTGTCTCAAGAAAACATTTCCTGGGTCAGGCTGATGGCTGTGCCTAGAGGCTGGCAGGGATGCCCCCTTCCCCCGTGCTTCCAGGCCCCTCCCAACCCTGCCGATGCCCGCAAACCCCTGGGACTTGGGCCGCCTGACAGGTAAACAGAGGTTCTCTGTGTCCTGTGCACAGGCAGTGGGGCATCGCTTCGAGTGGTCGAGCTGTGTGTGTATTTTCTGCAAACTTGATGGTTTTTCTACTTGGCCATGATGTTTCTGTGACTGACGGGAAGAGCTCGTTTATTCCAGGGAAGTCTCTTACTTGTGATGCCAGTTGCAGGTGTGTTTTCCAGCTCTATTGTGTCTTCTGACTTTGTTTTTGGTGTGTTTTTCCTGGTAGACATTTTTTGGGGTCATGTGTTTGAATGTATCAATTTCTTTTACTGCTGTGGGTTTTGAGTCGTAATAAGAAAGGCCCGTCTTACTTGGAGATTATTTTTTAAATTTTCCATGTTATTTTTCAAGAGCTTCAACGTTTTACTTTTTAAAGACATGATTTACGCTCCGTCAACTTCCCGTATGAAGCGCACAGTTGAGCAGGTGCTGGCCGAGCCCACGCCGTGGTCCTCTGTGCCTTCCCCAGGCGGTGGAGTGTCCACACCCTCCTCCAGCCCAGGCACCACTGCCACCGCCGCCGCGCCCCAGACGGAGACCGTGAGCGGCTGGCACTGCTGTCTGTGGAGCCCTGGTGGGAACGGGTGTTGGGGTGGGAGACTCAGTGCTCATGGTGGGGGATTTCTCACGCGGTGATGAGGACACACAGAAGTGAAGGTTTGTGTGAGGTGGGCTGGTGCTGGGCGGCGGAGGGAAAGTCGCCGCCAGCCCTAGAGGGCAGAGATGGCTTTTCCTCTCTGCTCTAGCAGACTGAGGACAGAGTGGCACGAAGCTGCCGCAGGTGCTCTTTATTACCCTCTTTTCTGTGCGAGGCCGACTTACCGGAGTCCTTGGAGTCTGGATTTTGGCAGGAAGGAGGCAGAGAGCTGGGGTGGGGAGCTCCGCCTGGCTGAGAAGGAACTCGGATGACAAGCTGGCCACGGGGTCTTAATCAAACAAAGGGCGGTTGTGCTGTGAGTTTATTTCTCTCACTGTCTGTTGGATCGTTTATTTCCTCTGTTAGATGGGTCAGCAGTGAGACCGCCTTTCTTAGAGAAGACACGTGGCTGTACTCAGCATAAGGTTCTGAGGTCTGCCCTGTGTGGCGTGCACCAGCAGGGTCTCCTTTTGAGGCTGAGTTTTGTGCTCTTCTGCACGTACGGTGTATCTGTCAGTCTGCCTGTTGGCGAAGGTTTAGGTTGTTTTGAATTCTGGTCTCTGATGAATAAAGCTGTTGTGAACACTCGCTCAGCAGTGTCTGTGTGGACGTGCGTTTTCATTTCTCTCACAGAAGACCTCAGAGGGAATTTTAACACACTGAACTTTGTGAGAAACTGCCAGACCGTTTTGCAGAGTGGCCCTGTGATTTTGTGTTCCCGCCAGAAGTGTGTGCGAGTTCCGGTTGCTCCACAGACCTGCCCACGCTTGGCGTTTGTCTTTTTTAAAACTTTACCTGTTCTGTGGTGCAGGAGTATAAATGTGTTTCCTGTTGTATCCTGATGTTGAACATCTGCTCGTGTGGTTATTTGCCTTTTATCCTATGTGATGCTTCTGTACAAATCTTGCGCCAATTTTTCATTTGGGATTTGCCTTCTTTAAATATTCCCATGCAAGCTGCTATCATTTTGCGTATTCCAAACTTTCTCCCACCTAGTCTGTGGCTTGCCTTTTCCTCCTTAAAATGTCTAACAGCTTTATCAAAGTGTAACCTACATACATTAGCTGCGAAGCATGCTAGGTTTGACATGGACACACACCGTGGACCGTCACTGTGGACACACCTGTCCCCCAAGCTCCCCAGGGCCTGTGCCCTTAGGGTCCTGGCTCTGGTCCCCTCCCTGCGACAGCCGCTGCTCCGTCAGTGTCGGTCAGCTGCGTTTTCTAGAGTTTGGTATAAATGCAGTGTAATAGCACACACTCATTTTCATCTGACTTCTTCTACTTGGCGTGATTTTGAGAGCCCCTCGTGCTGCCTGTGCCCAAGTCCAGTCCTTCTAGCTGCTGCTGGGCGGCTCACTCCCATATGTGGACATCAGGGTTGTGCCAAGTTTGGCTGTTACAAACTAAACTACTGTGTACCTCCGTGTACAAGTCTGTGCGTGGACACGTTTTCCTTTTTTTTCTGTGATGACCTGGAGGGAATGGCGGGACCATATGGTGGGTGTTTTAACTCTGAAGAAGTGACGCGCGGCACGGGAGTTTTAGTTCTGCCACAGCCTCACCAGCCCTCGCTGTTGTCTCTTGCAGTGTGTTCATCGCCGGGTTTCCTGAGTACACCCAGCCGATGATCGACCACCTGGTCACCATGAAGATCAACCACTGGGATGGGTAGGTGCTGTGTGTTTGTTTTTCTAAGAATTCTTTTTTTCCCCCAGAGGAGAGGGTAAGTTGGGCTTATAAGCCTTGAGTGTGTGTTCTCATCGTGGATACCGTATTTTAACGCCGGTTAATGGTCCACCTCCAGGTCCATTTCTGCAGGCCTGGTCAGGTGGTCTGTCCCGTGTGAGTGCCCCGTGTGGCGTGTATAGGGGCCACAGCCACCTGAGAACGGGAGTGACTCGAGCGGCAGGAACGCGCCTCTGTCCTCCCGCACTGGACTCTGCTCCGTGTGGCTGCCCCGGCGCCTTCTGCGTGGCCGTTCTCGTTGTTAGAGCAGCAGTCCCAGGGCCGCTTAGCGTTTCATGGGCGATTAAACAGATGTGTCTCTTCAGAGGGGGAAGCTAAGTGTGAGACCCAGGACATGGAGAGAGTGTGAGTGCTGTCATCGCCCCCCAGGGAGGCCAGGGGTCTCCCCAGAGGACGCGGATCTGGCCGAGGGTGAGGAACAGTGGACACCTGCAGGTGTGAGCGCGAGGGAGGGGCGAGCGCTCAGCACCCAGTCCTAGGGGAAAGTTCTTTCTGTCTGCACCACAGCCTCGGAAGTGCCGCTGATCCCTGCTGCACGGCGGAGGGGCCGCTGCCTACGCAGTCAAGATGGGGCCCCTGTGGGGGTGGGGTGCGCCTGCCAGGAGAGCCCCCACTCCCTTAACTCACAGAGCGGATGTGAGTTCCAGGCCTGCAAGTGTGATGCCAAAGCTCGTTTTTTTTTTTTTTTTTTAGACAGAGTCTCACTCTGTTCCCCGGGCCAGTATGCCGTGGCATCATCCTAACTCATAGCAACCTCCAACTCCTGGGCTCAAGTGATCCTCCTGCCTCAGCCTCCTGAGTAGCTGGGACTACAGGCATGCGCCACCATGCCCGGCTAATTTTTTCTATATATTTTTAGTTGTCCAATTAATTTCTTTCTATTTTTAGTAGAGATGAGATCTCACTCTTGCTCAGGCTGGTTTCAAACTCCTGACCTTGAGCAATCCTCCCGCCTTGGCTTCCCAGAGTGCTAGGATTACAGGTGTGAGCCACCTCGCCTGACCCAAAGCTCTTGTGATCAGGGGCTTGTCGGTCAGTGAGGTGTTTAAAACCAATAGAGTGAACACATAACCATGGTGTTAGACTGAACTTCAGGACTATCGAAGTCTCCAGCTGTTATTATCCATTTCTTCAAGTTCTGTCAGTTTTTCCCTCGTGTATTATGGATGGGTTACTTACTAGATATGTAAATGTTTGCGATTTTTATATCTTCCTACCGTATTGACCCTTTTTTTTTGAGACAGAGTCTCGCTGTGTTGTCCAGGCTAGAGTGAGTGCCATGGCGTCAGCCTAGCTCACAGCAACTTCAAACTCCTGGGCTCGAGCGATCCTTCTGCCTCAGCCTCCCGAGTAGCTGGGACTACAGGCATGTGCCACCATGCCTGGCTGATTTTTTTTCTGTATATGTTAGTTGGCCAATTAATTTCTTCTTTTCTATTTATAGTAGAGACAGGGTCTCATTCTTGCTCGGGCTGGTTTTGAACCCCTGACCTCGAGCAATCCGCCCTCCTCAGCCTCCCAGAGTGCTAGGATTACAGGTGTGAGCCACCGCGCCCGGCCTGTATTTACCCTTTTTCATTAAGAAACGTCCCTCTTTTCGTGGAGAGGCAGAGCTCAGGGCGGGGAGCAGGTGAAGCTGGGTCTTGAGCTGTAACCTGCCTGGTGCTGTCACTGCACAGGTTGGTGGGCTTTTTTTTTTTTTTTTTTAAGAGCCAGAGAGTAAACATCTTGGGTCTCTGTCCTCTATGTTTTATTGTTTCTTTCTTTATACAACCCTTTAAAAATGTGAAAACCTTCTTAGGGCTTTCCTCATACAAGGAGGCCTTAGGCTGGGTCTGGCGCCGGCTGCAGGCGCCGGCTGCAGGTGCTGGCCCTGCGGTGGTGGCGGCTTTCTTGGCGGTGTGCTGTCCTCTGGTCTGGCGTCTTTGGCCCTGACGTGCCCCCTGTGGACGGCAGACAACTGGGCCTCACGCTTCTATCCACTGCTGCCGTTTCTGCCTTTTTGTGGGGAGCATTTGATCCACGCACATTTAATGCAATTATCAACATGGTTCCATTTGCGTCAGCCATTTTGCTATTTGTGTTCTATTTTTCTCGTGGCTTTTTTCGTTACTAATTTCATTTTAAAAATTCTTTGGGGGAAATATTTCTTCTAGCAGAGACTTTAAAAATCTGAGAGTTTCGGGAATCCAACAATGAAATACCTGAAATAAAGCAGCTGCACACGGCGCTTCTCAGGGTGCGGCTGAGCTCGGGGAGGTCGCCTCACCCGACTCTCAGGCAGGTCCAGAGACACCCCCGAGGCACCAGCTGGTGTCTTCTAGAATGTCTGATTTACCAAGCATGATCACGCCCTATTTTATGATCGTTTAGGGATGGAGATACTTGTGCCTTTCTCTGTCATAGGCTTGGATGGTATCAGCACTCACAGTTCAGAAATGGCGTGTCTGATTGTCCGGGGCTGGAGAGGCACCGTCCTCCTCAGCAGCTGCTTTCCTTCTGCGCGTTCACTCTAGCGCCGTTGGCTTGGAATTTTTAAGGATCAAAATACAGCACTCCCCGCCCCGCGTGGTTTCACCGTGACATTTCGTCAGGCCTCTGGGTTGCTGTGTGGCACCTAGCTGACTGCGGCTGAGCGGTGGCTGCTCGTGGCTCTGGCTGGCAGTAGGGGTGGACTGCCAGCCGGCCTGGGCTGTCCCATTGTGCCCTGCGATCTCCCAGGTGTTTCCAGTGGACCTCAGATGCTGTGTTGGAAATGTTTGTGCTGATGGGGTATGTGCCTCTGGTTTATGGGGTGACCCACGTGAGGTGCCTGTATGCAGGCCTCGTCAGAGTGACGGTTCCAGTGGTCCCATCCAGCGTTCAGTGACCCGGGCGTGGGGAAGTGGGACGCCCTCTGCCACGTAGAGAGACGCAGGAGGACACGTGAAGCTGTTTTGTTCCCAGTGTTTTGTTTTGGTGAATTCTGTGCCTCATTTGCTACAATCTGAGGCTCGTGTGTGTGTGTGTGTGTTTTGCTTTGTGGTCTTGACCAAGTGGCCAGTTGAGGACTCGTGCATATTGTCTTTCTTGTCTTTTTATGTTTATGAATCAAATAAAGTTAGAATCGTCAGAAAGAAAGCACTAATAATTTTCTTTCTTTTTGATGCAGGATCTGGCTCTGTCACCCAGGCTGGAGTACATTGGCACTAGCACAACTCACTGCAGCCTGGAGCTCCTGGGCTCGTGCGGTCCACCTGCCTCAGCCTCCCGGTGGCTGGGACCACAGGCAGGAGCCACTGCACATGTCTGGAACTGACAGTTTTCTCTCTCTCTCCCTCAGGGCCATCAGAGAGCTGGCAGCGAAGGCACTGTCCAACCTAGCCCCAAGAGCGCCTGAGTACAGCGCCACTCATGGTGGGTGTGTGTCCGGCAGGGCGTCCCGGGTGGGGCTACCGTGCTGGTTTCAGAGTCCCCGGGGCTGCGAGTAATGTTCTGTTTCTCTCCTGCTGAGAAGGGCCTAAGGAACTAGCCGTGGGCTTGGTGAGGGGACAGAATAGCAGGACAGGCGGCCCTGTGTGTATCCACCTCAGAGCAGGTCCACCAGTCATGTTAGGTCAACTTGAGAATGAGGATGATTCCGCCAAACGGCGGACAGACGGTCTGCCCCCTCCCAGGTTGCCAGGCGGCCCCTAGCCGCTGCAGATGAGCACTTCCGAATTTGTTAATATCCACAGAACGGGCCTAAACAGAAGGTTGAACGTCTACCTCAGTGTTGAGATCACTCTGGGGTAGCAGCTACGTCTGCGTTCATTACACTTCGTTGTCATCAAAGGGAAAAAGTGTCTTGTCTTTTCTACTTGGAATAAATAAGCGTCTGACTCAAATGTAGGGAACACAAATTTCTCAAAATCACACTTAATCCCGCTGGCATTGATTACAGTGGTTATGCTGGAGTTTGAATGGCAGCTCTTTATTTGGAAAGACTGATTTTGCTTACGTGTGTGTTTAATACACTGCAGGGCTTGTGAATAACCCAGGGGCCTTTCAGCTTCATGAATTAAACTTAGAAGTTGTGAGTCAGTGTGGCGCTTACTTACCTTTGGGTGAGAGTCGCCATTGCTGAGGGCAGGAGGGAGGGCCGCTGTGTCCTCGCTCTCAGCTGGATGAGGGGAATGACCATCGTGGATTTCCCCGATTCTTTAAAAACCAGCTGCTCCCCGCTGCCCCCTTGGGGTGCTCTCGGGCTGGATACGTCCCCACTTTTATAGCCGTCTCGGGGAGGCCAGAGCCCCTGCTTCCGTTCCCGAGAGCACAAGAGGCCGGGACTCCTCTTTTGCTCTGGGCAGGGGTGAGCGACTCCCGCTGCGGGGCGGCCTCTGTCCCTGGCGGGTCCCAGGCGGCTGCTGGGCCACATGTGCAGCAGCGAGGGCTGGGGACAGCAGCTGTTGTCCTTCCCACCCTCCGCCCGCGTCACCGTCCGCCTCGCCCGCAGGGGCCGCCCCGGGCTTTGGGGCAGCTTTCCACGGGCCTGTCTCCAAGTCTGAGGGACTGCGTCCTCCCGTCTGTCCTCGCAGTTCTCCCCAGGCTGCTGTCGATGACGCGGAGCCCGGACCTGCACACGAGGCACGGGGCGCTGCTGGCCTGCGCGGAGCTCACCTACGCCCTGTACAGACTCGCCGCGCGGGAGGGCAGGTAGGAAGACCAGCTATGGGCTGCGGTGCTGCGCTCGCGCTCCCCGCGGGAGTCGCAGTGACCCGAGTCTGGGAATCACTGCGCGTGTGGCCGTGCAGGCCGCAGGTCCCGCCCCTTGCTGGTGAGGCTTGGACGTGGTCCTCCCTCCTGACGGGGCGCACCCCGTGGATCCCCCGCCTGCCTCTCCTGGCGCCCACTGTGTCTGCACGAGCCTCGTTGTCACAGGGGATGAGCTGCCGGCTGACAGGGCGGACACTTGTGAGAGATGGTAGAGAGCAACTCACGTGTTCAGTGTTCTTCATCTGTCACCCTTGATATTTTAAAATACCAGAGAATATAAATGTAGAAGTTTCCCTGAGAAATTTTTTCAGTTGGCCACTTGTAGGTGGCAAAGCACGCGAGGTTCACGGTCATTTGAGAAGTTCATGCGGGAGAGTGTTTCATAGACGCTGCTCCGTTTTCTGACTTTGCAACTGACTCTCCCTCAAAAGCAGAAGCTCACAGGCACCTGTGAGGTCTGCAACTTGGTCCCTGGACTCCCGTTTGGGAAAAACTGCGTTTATGTCACTTCCTGTGGATCCCAGGGGTTCCCTGGGGTACAGTGGTGGGCAGGTGAGACCCCACCTCTCCCCCCCATGTGAGCTGAGGGAGTTTTGGCTGCCCCAGCCAGAGCTACAGACCTGGCCCAAGGATGTCCTCGCTGGGTGCCGTGGGACCTGCGGGCGGAGCTGAAAGCTGCGTTGGTGGCGGGAAAAGGTGCATGGGGCGAAGTTGCGGGAATTGGGCCCGAGTGTCTGGAGGCTTCTCCCAGGGGTCCTCCCGGGGCGGGTGTGACTCCCCAGCTAGGAGCTGTGACGGCACACGTGAAGTGTCTGCCAGGGAAACACGCGTGGGACCCAGTGCCCAGGGCTTTTACAGGGGTCTGGTCCTGTGGGCACCTCTGCCCGGCGTGGGGCAGAATTCCAGATCCCAGAGGGAAAGCAGGTGCTTGTGGACCACACAGTTCGTGCAGCCAGTCTAAGCCCCGTGAGGCACCCTCATCAGGCAGGGCTTGGTGGGAACCCGGCCAAAACCCACACTCCTGGGTAACAGCTGAGGGCCCCCTTGCCAGTGGCCCCTCCAAGGACAGCCCAGGGCCCCGCCGGGTGGCCTTCATCTCAGGCTTGCCAGGGACTCGTCCGTTTCCGCAGTGGCCACAGCTGTGAGCAGGTGTCCTCACATCCACCTGCCTGGGCCCAGCACAGGACGGGACATGCCCTGAAGGGCTCTCAGGGCCACGGGGCCCTGAGGGAGACGCCACCTTTCTGAGCCCTTGTGTTCCTTAGCATGTGCCAGGGGTTGGGGTCTGGCCCGCGTGACCTTAGCGGCTGTGTTTGGTCTTTCCAGGCCCGTCTTGGACTACCTGGACGAGGACGCCGTGCAGGGCCTGAGGCAGATCCACCTGCAGGTGCGTGTGCAGCCCTGAGCCTGCCCCCTCGGAGTCGGGGCCGCTCCACCCTCCACCAGCTCGTCTGAAGTCCTGGGTGCGGTGGGGTGACCCTCGTGTGATCACTCTGGGGGCAGGTCCCATCGGCCACCATGGTGGCTCCTCTGGGCTGGGCGGTGAGCGCAGACTTTCTTTTCACGTGGCCGAGACGTCCTAGCTTGGGCTTGTTGGTTGAGCTGGTGCAGTCGGGCAGTTTTGGTGAAGGCCGAGTCACCGTCCCCGGTGGGGCTGACCACACTCCCCGCACAGAGCGCCCTGTGCTGCGGACACTGCACTCGCTCTCGGGGTGGGAGGGCGGCACCTGGAACCAGCCCCAAGGCCATCGGCTTCCAGCTGTGCCCTGCTGGGAGCCAGAGGTCTCTCAGTCTGGAAGTGAGTCCGAAATCTTGTGTCCCCGTTTCTCTGGAGAAGGTGTGTGCGTTTTTCTGGGTTTTAAGGGATTCTCAAAGGCTTCTGTGACCCAGAAGAGGTAAATATGAACTGTGGATCTCAGTATTATGCCATATCAGAATCATGTGTAAGGAATTAGTTTTAAGTTTGTCTGTGTTCTTTAGGATTTCCCTCTTTTTATCATAACACACCACTTTGATCCCTGGTCCTTATCTCATTTGTGCTGTTAACCTGCTTTGTTTGTGGCAAAGCCACTCCGTTTGTTTGCTTACGTTCTCACAACGTGGGGCCTGGCACCTCCGACTCTGGAGATGTGGGTCGGTCGGCTGGAGGCTGCAGGGCTGTGGCCGCAGGAAAGGCCGTCCCTGCCGGCCGGCTGCGACCACGGGAATCCTGCAGGCCCTTTCCCTGTAAACACAGGCAGTAACAGAACCACTTCCTTGAATTTCCAAGAGAATTAAAGGGTGCGTTTAAAGAGTTAGATAGAATTTTTGGCCGAGTGTGAACATTCAGTAGTTTAGTTGTAATGAGATGTCGTGAAGTGCTTTTAAGTTCTTTTAAAGAAAAAGCACATCAGAATGCTGCTTGCCACGGCGAGTTTTCTGCCCACGAGGCTGTCTGGGGCAGGCCCCGCGTCGGGCCTCGGGGCCAGGACACGGCTGGTGCTGGTGCCGTCCCTCCGTCCATGCCCTTCCTTTCCCGGTGCCTCGATATTCCCTCCCAAGGGACCTCCTTGGCCGTGGAGGGGCTTCACGAGGACGCTGAGGGCGCGGCGGTGGTGACGTGGCTCTACCGAGGTGCTGGCTCTACCGTTTCCTCTGTCTCATTTTGATACTGCTGCTATTGTGTGCGTGCCATGTTATTTAAAACTTCACATCATGAATAATAACTTCCACTTCTTTATTTTCAGCTCTCCGAGCGTCAGCTGTACAGGTGAGTAAGCCTCTCGAGACCCCACTCTGTGCCGTGTCTGGTGTGTGAGCTCCTGCTTGGCCGCGTGTGCTGTGCTCGAATCGGGCCGTTCCCTCAGCTTGGCCCAGTTGGTGTTTCTTGCTTCGTGGAGGTTGCTCGACACGTAACGTCTCCTTGTTTGAGACGGTTGGTTTCTGTTTTGGGGCCGTAGGCAGCTGTGGCCCTGACACAGAGACAGCCCGGTCGCCAGGCCCGCGCGGCCTCGCCAGCTGTGCTGGGATCCGTGTGGATGGAGCCCCACAACACGCAGCCTTTTGGGTCTGGTTTCTTTCACCCAGCGTGTTTCTGAGAGGCATCCATGTTGCGTGTGTTAACATGTGCTCTTTGTTGTGGAGGTGTTCCGTGTCCCCTCACGGGCTCATGGGTGTGCGGGTCTGCAGCCTTGTCTGTTGGGAGCAGCGACACTGCGGGTGCAGGAGCACAGGCCTCGGTGCACACGAGTGTCCTCTTTCCCGCGTGGAGACCAGGGCGCTGCTGTGGGGTCCCGTGGGGGGGCGCACGTTTCTGTGGCTCCAGCGGCCTCCCCTGGACCCTGCTGCCCGACCGCACCGTGGGGAGGCGAGGTCGGCCCACGCCTGGGCACCTGGGCCCCCTGCGGGTGTTGGGTGTCCGGACGGAGCTGTGGTTTGCGTGTCCCGTGACTCGCGGTGCTGGGCGCCCCGTGTGCTGACGGGCACTTCTGTAGGGAGGGACTGCCCAGAGCTGCTGCTGATTGAGTTGTGTTGTCTGTGTCCTCGCGGAGCCGCTGGGCGCTGTACGCGCCCCAGATGCAACTCTCGGTCAGACGCTCGGTCTCCCCTCCCTGTGGCCTGCCTTTTCTTCTTTCTGGTGGCTCTTAGTGTGACCTTTGCAGGGTGGCAGACCCCGTGACGTTCTCCTCCACCCGGGAGGGCGGGCCTGCCTTGTTGCGGTCAGCTCCTCCAGACGGGCCCGGGCCCTCCTGGCTGCCCCGAGCCCTCCGCTCCTCTGCGCCCAGTTCCAGCGCCTCAGCCTGGCGCTTCCGCCTCCAGCTCCCCCCTCGGTAGGCACGGGGCTCGAGTGGCCTCACCGCACACTCCGAGCCTGGGGCTCCTCCCAGCTCCCTGGGGTGTTGGAGGCCCCCGCGCCCTGCACCCTGCGCCGTCTCGCAGGGTCTGAGCCGGTCTGGTGTCTCTCCGGCTTCCCGGTCGTGTGGGGCAGGAGGACAAACCCAGATCCTGTCACTCTGGGCCAGCAGCCCGGCCTCGTGAATTACTTTTATCTGCTGATGAGTGTGTCCTGTGTCCGCGCCCAGCAGTGTCCTGCCGCCAGCGTGAGACGTCACCTAGGCATCCAGAGGCGGCGGTGCGAGGGAGCAGCGGGGCTGCCCCTTGGGCAGTGGCAATGCCTCCCTGCGTCTCTGAGAGCGAGAGCCGGCGCGGCTCGGAATGGGCCGCTTGATAGTAATAGTTCTACACGGGCAACCCCGTGGGACGAGAGGCCTCCGGAAGATGGTTGTGTCTTATTTTTTCATTTCTTTTAACGTCTAAGCGTAGTTTTAACACAGTTTAATGTAGTTTGCTTTTAGTAACAAATTTACCTAATAAATATTTTAATAGTTTTTGGAGCCTGAAGTTATCTCTGTTACCGTGTGAGGATATTTCATGTTGCTTTGCATGTTAAGAGATTTTAATTCTGAACGTTTCCGTTACTCTTTCAGGGGTCTTGGCGGAGAACTCATGAGACAAGCAGGTAGGTCTGAGGGCTGAGGCTGTGAGCAGGGAGATGCCCTCCAGGCCTGGGTGGCCTTTTACTGCTGCCGCGGCTCTGGCCGGGCCGTCCTCTGTGGGCGTCTCTGCGGAGGGGCCTGGCCGTGGTGTGCACGCCGCTCTCACACGGGGACGGCCCTGGGGACGCTAAACAGGCTCTCCTTCCTCTTCCGCACAGTGTTGAAGTCCAACATGACTGCAGAGCACAGAGTGATTTTTCAGTTTGTGTTTAAATGTAAGCAGGGAACTCAAAGGGCACCAACCTAACAAACACTGAGATTTCCTGAAGCCTGGTCAGCTAAACCTGGAAACCCCAGGAGCTTGTCACTCTCTGGTGTCGTGGTCGGTCCTGGCCATGCAGGTGCACGGAGAGCCCCTCTCTGGCTAGGGGTGGTGGTGGATTTAGGTGTGACAGGCGCACCCCCACGTGTGGGGCGTGGTTAGCAGGGGGCTGGTCAGTGCTGTCCGTGCCGCCCTCAGGGCTGGTGCACAGGCCGTCACCCGTGCAGGGTGGGGTGGTGAGGGTGTGGCCAGGGGCTGCCTGGCTCCCGGGTGGGGTCGCCACACTGCCCAGCGTCGGCGTCAGGCTGCGTGGCAAGGCCCCCGCCCTGCCTCGGGAGCTGGCTGGTGCTCGCTGCTGCAGGGCAGACGGAGGGGCTGTGCAGGAGGCGTCCCAGGACTCCCGTGTAGAGTGCAGGGGAGGTCACACAAACCACTAACCCCAGCGGAGCCTCCTGCCAGCTGGGAGGGACAGCCCTGGGGCCGGGGGCTGCGGATGAGGCTCAGAGAAGCGGCAAGGGTGGGGCACGAGGCTGGAGGCAGGGTCTGTCTCTGTGTCTCCCCCAGGCGAGCGCAGGCACCACTGCCCACCGCAAGCCAGGGAGCGAGCCCAGCGCCAGAGCTGCGCCGGAGCTTCACCACCTCAGAGCCGTTCTCTTTGTCCTGGACGGTCGCGTTCCGTGCAGTGGGGCTCACACTGTGCACTGCCATGCAGTCCCTCTGCCTCTGTCCCGTGCTCTGCGGGGCTCCGTGCGGTGGGGCAGTGTCTCCAGTGTGCTGCGTGGCTGGGGCAAGTTGTCCCTGTCTGTGTGTTGCAAACAGAACCATGAGCTCAGGAGAAACCACTTTCTCTGGACCAGAAGCGGCTGGCAGAAAGAACACGTGTGCTTTTGTGCCGTATGAGCAGCTCTCCAGAAAGTCTGTCCCGCTCCGGATGCTGGCCCTGGGTGGGCTGCGCGCCGGCTTGGACGTTGGGCTGGCAGGCCGGCATTTTTGCTGGTCTCGTCCCTTCCCATACTGGGGCCATGCCCATTCCTGACAAAGCCCCTGCCTGCAGAGGAACTGGGATAGGAAAACTGATGTGTTTTGGCCAAAGATTTTAAAAAGGTACCTTATAGCTATTTCGGCGTTTGGCGTTTTTGTGACACCCGACTTTGCCCTGGAGGGCAGCTGTGGCGTGTGGTCTGCTGTGGGGGGCATTGGGGGTTCTGTTTGCCCTGGTTGCAGCTTTCCCACCAGCCTGCTCTGGGGGGCCACCTGGAGGGGCCCTCATGGGGGGTCATGGGGGCTATGGCTGCTCTCTCAGGCCGCTGCCCAGCCCAGTGTGTTTTGACAGCGCCCAGGGAGGGGGAAGCTGGGCCTGGACGTTGACCCCCACTCCTCCCTCCCCCCCCCCCGGCTCTGTCTGCCACCTGCGCCCAGCCAGGCCCAGCACCCAGCGGCCCTCCATCTCTTTTCCTGGCCTGTCCTTTGTGTAGACTCGGGGTTCCTCCAGTGTGCTCGGGTTTCCTTTCAAAGTTAGGTTTAAATAGGCCAGAAAGTGACGTTCTGCAGAGTGTCAGTGGTCCCAGCTGCACACCCCACTCTCACATTTTTACTTCTCCAAAGTCAACTCTTTCAATTTTTTCAGCTTTTTCTGTTATTTGCTTCATTATTTATGATCACATGCTTATGCAGCTGTTTCTTGATAGCCTTAACTGTAGTGCGTTCACCTGACGGAGACTAGACCCAAAGCTCCCGTCAGTGAACGGCTCTCATTCCGGCAGGTGTGGGCCGGGCCCTGTGTGCTCACACTGGAGGTTCGCGTCAGCTGCAGCTGCCGTCAGGCTTCTCGGGTCCCAGAGCCCTAGGATTCCGGGGCAGGATGCCCAATGCGAGGGACTCATTTGGGTGTTTTTTTTTTTTTTTTTTGCACATTTGTGGCAACAGCTGCTCAAGACTTGGTCTTCCCAGACCACTTTGTTTCCATATCAGAGAAGTGTGCGTGACGAGTTGGCCTCGTGTAATGTCCCACGCTCTGCGGCGTTGCAGGACAGGATGCGATGGCACATAGACATCCTCCAGGCAGCCAGCCGTCCCCAGGTGTGGGGAAGAGGGGATGCCTGGTCGTGTCTTGGCTGCTTGCGAGGCCACAGCTTAGTGTTGGCAGCGCGATTCTAGCACCACGAGAAACGCAGCGGAGCTCAGCTCTACCGGGAGAGCCGAAGGAGGAGCGGGGCAGCAGTTAGGGGGGGCTGCGTCCTGCTCTGTGACAGCCCAGCGTTTCGGGGCCGTTGAGAGACCCCAGCAGTGACGTTCACCTGTTTGTGCGTCGCAGTGCGTGGTGGCTCTGGCGAGGCGGGGAGCCCCTGGCACCTCCTCTCCTACCTAAGTGCCGCCCTCCCGCTGCTCCTGCTGGACAGCTCTCCCCTCCCCACGCCGGGCGTGCGTGAGGGAGGCGGTGTGGATCTGCCACGGTGTGTGCAGACTGTTGCTAAAACGGGCAGGTGTGGGTAGTAGACTGGCGCGCTCGGCGCTCCGGGGCTTCCTTCTGTGGGAGGCCAGGTGCCCCTCCCGCGCCGCGCTCGCCCCTCCTGACGGGGCCCTCTGTGTCACGACGTTCGGTTTTTGTGTGTTTTAAATCACACAAGAGCGTCATTGTGGTTCTACTTTGTCAGAATCTATTTAGATTTACCCACACACTATCGTTCCGTTTTTCGTTTTTATTCTTCCTGCATCGCTGGCCTCCCAGGAGATCGTTTCCACTTCCAGGCGTCTGTCGTCGGAGTCTGGCCGCAGCCGGTCTGGTCTGAAGAGCGTTTTACTGCATTTCACTCTGAGGGTGTTTTGCTGGGATAGCAACTTTAGTTTGGCGTTCATTACGCTTTGTTTTTTTTTTTGTTGTTTGTTTTTTTTTTTTTTGAGACAGAGTCTCACTTTGTGCCCAATGACTACGAGGGAGTTTGCCATGGCGTGAGCCTAGTCCACAGGCAAGCGTCAAACTCTGGGCTCAAGCAATCCTCCCTGCCTCAGGGCTCCCGAGTACGCTGGACTAGAGCGATGCCGCTAAATGTTCTTGTGGTAGACTAGTAGGTATATAGTGGCCAGGACTTGAATTTGTTGCTTTTATGAGTAGAGGACGGCGGTCTCGCTCTTGCTCAGGGTGGTTCGACACTCCGCTGACCTTGACGCAGTCGGCCCGCGTCGCCTCCCATAGTGCTAGGATTACAGGCGTGAGCCACCACGCCCGGCCTCTACTTTGTTTTTTAGCGCGTTAAAGACAATGCTCTGTCCTCTTCCGGATTCACGTCCTCTCTGGTTGTGGCAGTAGCTCCAGTCCGTCCACTTACGGCTGTCGGGGACGATCTGTCAAGTCCCGGCTGCTTCATCCTCTCCATGTTTCTGGAAGCTTTGCTGTGACAAACCTGGGGAGCGTTTTCTTTGTGTCTGTCTCACTTGGGGGTCCCTGGTTTGTACTGGATTCATGATCTGTCGTTTTCATAGGTGTTTTGAGTCACTTTGGAAAGATCCTCAGCCATTTTCTCTTCGAATGTTGCTCTTGTGTCCTCTCCTCTCAGGACTCTGGTTGCCCCAGAGCTCACTCAACCCTCCTGTCTCTTACGTCCTCCCCGTTTCTCTCTCGTGCGGTTTGGATATTCTCTAATTCTCACATCAGCTGCATCTTACCTGCTATTAAACCCATCCTTGAATTCTTTTTTTTTTTATTTCAGCATATTATGGGGGTACAAATGTTAAGGTTGTGTATATTGCCCATGCCCCCCTCCTTGAGTCAGAGGTTCAAGCGTGACCATTCCCCAAATGTTGCAGATCTCACTCATTATGTGTGTATATACCCATCCCCCCTCCCCCCTGCCCGACACCCGATAAATGTTACTCCCATATGTCCACTTAGGTGTTGATCCGTTAATACCAATTTGCTGGTGAGTACATGTGGTGCCTGTTTTTCCATTCTTGAGATACTTCACTTAGTAGAATGGATTCCAGCTCCATCTAGGAAAATACAAGAGGTGCTAGATCACCATTGTTTCTTAAAGCTGAGTAGTACTCCATGGTATACATATACCACATTTTGTTAGTCCACTCATGTATTGATGGGCACTTGGGTTGTTTCCACAACTTTGCAATTGGGAATTGTGCTGCTATAAACATTCGAGTACATATCCTTGACTTCTTGATTCTAGCATTTTAATCTTTCAGAACTTCTATTTGTTTATTTTTATGGTTTCGCTATCCTTGTCCTAGTTTTCAGTCGTTTCTTTTACCTCCTTGAACATACTAAGCACAATTTAAAGTCTTCAGCAATATCGTTATCTAGAGCTTCTGTCGTTCTGTCTCTAAAGGACGGATGTTGTACATGAAAAATCGCAGAGAAGCTTCAAAGCCCGGGAATGTTCTTCTCTCCCAGGGAGGCGGTCTGGGGTCCCCTCCATCTAGGATCTGGATTCAAGAGGGTCAAGCGCTGGGTGCCAACCAGTTGATGGGCTTTTTGTACTTATTTCTGGAAATCGGCGTGGTCCTTTGGGTTCAAAACCCGTCGTGAGGGGCTTTGCTGCTCCCCCTTCGACAGCCCTCGATTCCCAGTCCTGACCCCAAGCCAGAACCCTTGACATTGTGACGGTGCCCTGGGTGTTTGAAGTGCCTCTGGCGTCCTCGGGGGGCTGCTCAAGGAGGACCCCACCCCCACCTCCTCACAGAGCCTCCATAACTGCAGTGATGCAGGCATGTGTGTGTTCCATTTTGTCTGGCTTTTAAAATGCTGTCATAGCTGCAGGGTTGGTCTGAATTACCTGGCCTGTTGGCTTTTTAAAAAACTTCTGGTTTTGAAATAATTACAGCCTCATAGGAAGTTGGTACCATGCCGTTGGCCAGACCACAGACCCGTTCAGTCTTCCCCATTTTCACGTGTGCGTGGCATGTGCGTGTCTAGTTCTGTGCACATCCGTGCCCTGCATAGGTCTGTGTGACCGACACCATGGTGGGACACAGACCTGCTGCCCTTTGTGTCTGTACTCCTCGCCTGGCCCCCGGCACCCACCCACTTGCCTGTCACTACAGCTTGTCATTTCTAGAATGTTCTGTAATGGGCTCAGATGGTCTCTGCTTTTTTGAGGTGGCATCTGCCATGAGCCCCGAGACCTGTGCAGGTTGTTCTGTGTTGACAGCTGGTTCTTGTTTCCCACCGTCTGGCTTTACCAGCATGTTCAGCCGTGCACCTGTCAGGGGACACGTGGACTGTCCAGCCCGGTGCTGCTGTGAGCAGGTTGCCACGGTGCCTGTGCACGGTGTGTGGGAACACGCCTGTCATCTCTCTGGGACGCATGCCTGCCTGTGTGCTCCCCTGCAGAGACGTGCACCTCGTTTCTAGGGAAACGGCCAGGCTGTTTGCAGAGGCCGCACCGTTCCACATTCCCACGAGCGGCGTGTGCGAGTCCCTCCCTCCGTACCGCGCAGGCTTCTCGACTCTCCCTGGTTTTAGTTTCACCAGTTCTGATGGACAGTGACTGCCCATCGTGGGCTCAGCCTGCGTTTCCCTGTGGGCCAGTGCGTCGAAAGTCTTCTCATGTGCTGGGTTTTCTGTTTTTTAACTCAATAAAAGGCATTTAAAGTTCATATACGAGGCAAGTCTCTAAGAAAATGACTTTTAAAAGTAGGATTTGCATCTCCCAGTCCTTCAAACACACCATGGAACTACTCAGAATGGCATGCAGAGCCCGGAGGCGGGTTCTGACGCGACAGTGCCCGTGGATCTGGCCTGTGACGGGGAGGCCTGTGCAGCCGTTGGGCGCCGGAGCTTGCACACCTGCGCAGGGGAGGCAACATGGCCCCTAAAACTGAACGTGCGGTTAACTGCGGACTCACCTATAAAAAACATAATCGTGAGGATCTTCAAAGAAATTTTAGGAGACATTATGGGATAATGTTGGTCCTTTAAAAAATCTTAATTTGGAAATTTTCGAAACTTCACAAAAGTAAAGAGAAATAGTGACTGAGCCCTAGAGGTGTCCCCAGCTTTGCGAGCATGGACACTCGCCGCCTCCTCCTCTCTGTCCCTCCCGGAACGTCAGGGCAGACCCGACTCGCCGCGTTGTAACGATCCCGCACTGGCTGTTTCTGACTGGGAAGCACTGGCTTTCTGGGTTGTTTTGTTTTTTTACTCTTTGCATATAACCGCTAATAGGATTAGCAGTAGTTTTATAAGCTGGAAACAAAGGAGATGGTGAAGCTTGCCTCTGTGTGGAAGACTATCTCGTGTGTGAGGCTGGCAGGCAAAATGCAGACATAGGGAAAACACCGGTGCTGCCCTGGAAAGATAAGAAGTGTGTAAAGGAGGCAGAGACTTCGTGAAGTTTCGGGGGGCGAAAAAAACCCAGTAATGATCCAATGGAAAATTGGGCGAAGCGGAGACACTGGGTTTGTGCTTGCATAAAATGTCCGACGGCCCAGGGCTTGGCGAGAGGCACCTCGGCTCGCCCAGCGGGCGGGAGGTGCTGATGAACTTGGCGATGAGCAGCCAGTTTCCGCCTTCCCAGTTGGCTGGAACGCAGTCGGTGCTAACGGGAACGGAGTGAGGTTCCCTCGCGGGTGTGAGCGCTGCAGTCTCTTTCTGTTGCCCCGGCAGTGTCTGTGTGAGTGAAATGCCTCTGTGGTGTCCATCCTGCCCGGCTCCTGCAGCCCGGAGCACGTTGGGTGGGCGGACGGTCCTGCAGCTCTCCAGGCTCGTGGCCACCCGTCTGCACCGACAGAAAGTGGAAAGCTTAGCTCATCTGGAGAAGTACCGGGTGAATCGCTCTATGTTCATGTTATAAAACATTGTACGTCCATCAGGAAGAGTGCGAGAGGTTTCTCCTAGTGGATTATATCATTAGGCAAAAGCAGGTGGTGGCTAGAGAAATGCACGCAGTGTCTGTGGGAGTCACTGTTCTGTTCGGACGTCCTTGCCTTGCAGCCAGGCACGAACACGTTTCTGCTCGTGGTGCACAAGTCGCGAGCCAGGAGGGGGGTGGGTGTTGCTCTCAGTGGGGAGCACATCACGTGACAGCTGTGACCTGGGTCCCTGAGTGACGGGTGTGTGTTGTGGTCCCAGAAATCTGCAGCCTCCTGCAGTGCTCTGGGCGGAGCCAGCCGGGCTATCTGCAGTACACTGGGGTCCCGTTGCCTGGCAGGGGTTCTGGACTTCTTGAGCCTGGCTGGGTGTGGGGTGTCCTGGGCCCGTCCCTGCGCTGGGCAGACAGCCTGGCCGCAGGGGATGGGGGTGGCGGGGGGCAGACTGCTGCTGGCAGTGCAGGACCGGAAACACTGAGATCGGAGTGTGTGATGGCACTTTTGGAAACTCACGTTGTGTTTGTCCTTTTTCTCCCTAGTGTGCATTTTGATAGAGAACTTGTCACTTTCCAAAATGCCCTTTAAAGGGGACACCATAATTGGTAAGTGCTTTTCCTGTTCATGACTCACATGATAGTGTTTTTTGTCAAAACGACTTCAAATTATAAGATGAGAGGCCAGGCATGGTGGCCTGTAATCCTAGCACTCTGGGAGGCTGAGGCAGGAGGATCACTGGAGCCCAGGAGCTTGAGGCTGCAGTGAGCTGTCATGATGCCACTGCACCCCAGCCTAGGCCCAGAGCGCGACTGTCTCAACAAAAAGGAGGGAGGGAGGCCCACTAGGACGGTGATGAAGGTTATAGTTGAGGTTCGGGCTGCTAGTGCGCCTTGTCTCAAGTTGCTGTGGAGCCAAGGACGCCCCCCGCCGAAACAAGATAAAGTGCCTTCGCCTCTTCCTGGTGCTCCCAGCAGCGGCTCTGCCCGCGACGGCTGTGCCCAGGGCCGGGCGTTCTTGGTCAGCTCTGCCTCCCAAGTGACTGTGGACCAGGATAGCGCCAGCGGCCGGCCGGGCCTGGCCAGAGCCCAGCCTGACCCTGGGCACTCCCTGCTCTGTAACTCAGAAGTTGGACTTTCTTCCCTTTTTTTTGAGACAGAGTCCTGCTTTGTTGTTCGGGCTAGAGTGAGTGCCTGGCTCACCTCGCTCACAGCAACCTCCAACTCCTGGCTCAAGCAATCCTCCTGCCTCAGCCTCCCGAGTAAGCTGGGATACAGGCATGCACACATGCCCGGCTAATTTTTCTACTATAATATGCTTTTTCGGTCGGGTTGCGGCCTTGTCAGGTGGTTTCGAACTCCTGACCTCGAGCAATCCGCCCGCCTCGGCCTCCCAGAGTGCTAGGATTACAGGCGTGAGCCACTGTCTTCCCTTTTCTTGAATGGAACAGACTTAGCATTTGTTACCTGGTGTTCGGTCTGACCGAGTTGAATGTCTGAGCTTGTGCTGGTGGGAGCCAGCAGGAGAGACTGGAAAAGACCACTGGACGCTGGCGAGTGTGACACACCTACAGAAATCTCCCAAGACGTGACGCTTGAGTCATCAGGTTTACAGAACGCAGGTGTTTCCCACAGCGAGGGTTTAGCGACTCAGAGCCAGAGGCCTTTTCCCTCACACCGACACGCCTCCGGGTTTGCGCAGCCTGCAGAGTGCGTAGCCCGCTCTCTCCGGCCTCCTCTCTGAGGTGACTGTCTGCTTTGACTTTGAGAGTTAGTAGAAGATGTGGTGGTGTTTTAATTTCAACTAAATATTCTCACCTGGGTAAATTAACTCTGTTTCTTTGACAGGTGGTTGGCAGTGGCTGGTAGACGACACTTTGAGAAGTCTCCATCTCGTTTCCAGTCACGCCAGACAGCAGCTCAAGGTGCGGTGACAAGATTGTTCCCGTGCTACGCGGCAGAGCAGCGAGCTCGGGTGTTGATTCAGTGCCTGCGTCAGCCAGCCGTGCGCTGGGGGCTCCTCTCAGGCGCTGGCGTGACTGGCGATGCCATGATTCTATGTGGAATTCTGGGTGATGTTGTCTATGTGATTTGTGGTCAGGAAACCTGATCCAGCCACTGGTAATCCGAATGTTTAATTTTTTGTTACTGTTTCTGACTTTCTTAACTTTTTCTACACGTTGACAGTAAGTATTTGCGCAGTCGATTCTGCGGCCTGTTGAGTTTTGGGATTTGAGGTGTGGAAACTGCGTGTGTGAGGCTCACGTGCAGATGAGAAAACCACCCCAGACTCTGCCCGAGCACCGCCACGCCGGGCCCACTCGCGGGCGCGAGTGCGTCCCCGCCACCGCCCTCCCGTGTGGAGGAGTCCGTCAGTCTCTGTTCAGTCTGCTGTGACGGTGGCAGAGAATCACTGACGTGGTGAGCGCGTCACGGGACGAGAGCCGACACCCTGCACAGGGATGGCAGTCTGGGTCTTTGTCTTAGCCCTAATCACTGTGCTGGGCTTGCGGACGATCCGTGGGCTCCGCGGCCGAGCCGAGCAGAGCCTTCGCGCACTCACAGCCCTGCCTTTGTTTCAGGACGCAGCTGTCTCGGCCCTGGCCGCGCTCTGCAGCGAGTACTACGCGAAGGAGCCGGGGGAGGCGGATCCCGAGGTTCAGGGTGAGTGGCCGGGCGCGGCAGGAAGGGCGCTGTGGCAGTGGAGGCAGAGGGGACCAGGGCTACGGGAACACTCGTGGACTTCTCGCGGAGTGGACAAGTTCATTCTGGCACTGCGTTTGCAGGTCCCTCAGTTCCCTCAGCCGTCCCTCCTCCCCGGGGTCTCCTTCATCTCTGAACAGGCAGCTTCTCCGGATGTCTCGGGGGTCTCCACCCCACAGCTGGTCCTGGGGCGGCGTGGTGCCGCCCGTCCCCACGCAGAGTTGGCTCTCACTTGTTCCAGCTGCTTCCTTTCTTCCTTTCTTTCGTTTCTTCTTTTTGACAGAGGGTCTTGGTCAGTCCCCAGGCTGGAGTGCAGTCATGTGATCACAGCTCACTGCAGCCTCCGACTCCTGGGCTCAAGTGATCCTCCCACCTGAGCCTCCCAAAGTGCTGGGATTACAGGCGTGCACCACCACGCCCAGTTCAGCTCTGTTTTCTTAAATTACAATTTTGAGTAAACTTTTTCCAGTTGTGTTCTAGGGGATTCCGGCTGTGTCTGTCAGAGCCCTTCCCGTCCCCTGTGCGCCTCTCTGCTCCCGCTCGTTCTGTTCACTTGCCACGTTCCCTGTGTGTCTTTGCTCCCGGAGCCTTCGTCCTCACCCTCCTGACGCTGCTTCCCTGTGTGTGTCGCCAGGACGGCGTCTGGCTCTGCAGCCTCTGCCGCCGTCTGTCCACGGCCTTCCGGGGACTCTTCACCTGCCCCTGCCCCTGAGCCTTCGTGCCCGCATCCCCACGGCTCCCGTCGCTGCCCCTGGCCTGTCCCAGGGAGCTGCCGTGTCTGCGGCACCCGCTGTCCGCTGCCCAGAGCGCCCGCCCGGCGCTCCCAGTCCCTGACGAAATGCTCGTTTCTGAGGAAGACGTTTCCATCATGAGCATTTATGTTCTTCCTAGATAAAAAGGAGAATTATGAATGTAGCTACCATCTCATCACCCTCCCGAATTTATTTTCCCAAGTGTGAAGCCATGTGGTTAAAATTGCTTATGGAAACCTTAAAGCCACGTTGTAAAAATTATTTTTTTATGCTTGTTTTGACACACACCACTTGGGAACTGTGTCTGCCGTAGGAGCCTGACGTGGCTCCTCCCCGTGTTTGACGCGGTTTGCGTGGGTGTGGTGCGTGGCGGGCGGCGGGGCCTCACTCTCACGCTCGCTCCTCCTTGCAGAGCGGCTGATCGGCCAGTACCTCGCCGAGCTGCGGAGCCCCGAGGAGATGGCGCGCTGCGGCTTCTCTTCCGCGCTGGGCGCCCTCCCCGGCTTCCTGCTGAAGGGCAGGCTCCAGCAGGTGGGCGCAAGCGCGCAGGGCGAGGGCGGAAAGAACCCATGTGGTGGGGAAGGGTTCCTGGCAACCGGCCGAGAAGGGAGCGGGGGCACCGAGGTGCTCCCCACCAGCGGGACGGGCGGCCCCGCAGCTCCGGGCCGCCTGAGCGCGCACGCTGGGTGTGTCCCGGTGCAGCGTGGGTGGCCGCCACGCAGTTCCTGAGAGCCAGCTGTCACTGGTGACAGGAAGCTTCGGTAGTCTGTCCGGCCGAGGCAGGACCCAGTCCTCGCCGGGGTCAGGCCCACCATGAAGGGGCTGCGGTCCCTCCCCGGGCGTCCCTCCCGGCCACGCAGCCCCCGCGGATGGCGGCACCGTGAGCTGCCCGCGTGCCGCCCTCCTGAGGGCCGCGTTCTCTGGTCTGGGTGTGAAAAGCGCGCTTGTCGTATGGTTGTGACGTTCTGCCGCTGGACCTTTACTGCTTTCCAGGTTCTGGCAGGTCTGAGAGCTGTCACCCACGCCTGCCCCGAGGACGTGGGCTTCGCCGAGTCCAGGAGAGATGCCTTGAAGGCCATCGCCAGGTGAGTGGCAGCGGCTCCTCCCGAAAGTCGGGACTGAAGCGCCAGGGACCGCGCGTTGACGAGAGGCTCTCGGGCTTTACCGGGAGCTGGTCACGCGGTGACGGGTCTGCTGGGAGGCGGCCTCGTTATTTTCCATGTTCTGGTCAGCTCTCCTTGCAGCGGGGCGCCGCCCACGTTGCGTGCGCTTGAAGGAGCGCCGGATCTCTGAGTCTGGTCGGGCCCGGTCTGCTCTGCGCGTCCTCTCAGGAAATCGAGGCAGGCCGTTGCCGCGTGGAGGGCCCGTTACTCACCTCCCACGTTTGAACCCAAGGATCTGCCAGACCGTCGGGGTGAAGGCGGGCGCTCCGGACGAGGCCGTGTGCACGGAGAACGTGTCCCAGGTCTACGGGGCGCTGCTGGGCTGCATGAGCGACTACACCACGGACAGCCGCGGGGACGTGGGGGCCTGGTGAGCAGGGACGCCCCGTGCTGCGTGAGCCTGGTTTACGCAGAACCAGAAATCCCGCGTGTTCCTGCAGGGCGCGGTCCTCGTAGAGTTGATTGCGTTTCAGGGTTTGTGGGAAACTGCGCGTGCTGTTGTGTGCACGTTTGTTTGGGGCTTTGCCGGGGCTCGTCCAGCCGTCTTCGGTGCCAAACACGGCCCTCGTCGCTCAGCGGGACGTGCGGGAGAACATGTTGTTCCTTCCTGTCCTGCTGAAGCGGGGTTTAAATGACCTCTGAATCTCGCCTGTGCTCAGGCCTCCTGGGCTGGTGTCCCCAGGCCTGCCCTCTCGGTGCACGGGACCCTGGGAAGTCCTCGCACCTTCCCCCCCCTCCCCCGGCAGTGGACGGCCCGGGGCTGCGTGTGGTCAGTCACGGCGTGGCCTGGCCGCCGGGGCTGGCACAGTTCCATCTCCCGTCGCTCCGTCCCGCAGGGTCCGGGAGGCCGCCATGACGGGTCTGAGGGACCTGACGCTGCTGCTGGCTCGCAGCCGGCCCGAGCTCATCGAGGCCCACATGTGAGTGTCGGCACGGCGAGGGCTCATGGTTGCGCCCCTTCCCCAGACGGGCCCTTGGGCCCCTTCACCCGCTGTGCAGGCCCTCCCCCTGGTCTCCCCGGGTGCCTGGCGGGGCAGGGCTGGGCTGGGCTGGGCGGCGTCTCGGCGTCAGGCCTGTGCTCCTGCCGGGCCGGTCTGGGCCGTCACGTGGTTGGTTCCCTGGCCCCAGGGCTGCCGCCGGGTCCGTCCTTGCCGGGGGTCTCCCTGGCCCTGCTGTCTGGGGACCCTCGTTCTGTGTGGGTTCCGGCTTCGTCTCCTCAGTGCCCCTCCCCCACCCAGGCCGCGCTCTCCTCTCCCCAGCCCCACCTGCTCCCCACCCCGAGCCCCATCCGCAGTCCCTGTCTCCGACCCAGACCCCGTCGACGTGTTTAACGCCAACCCGTCGTGCGCCTGCTGTTGGCTTCTGGGACGCACACGGGGTGTGGTCCTCTTGGGCCCACCCGTGTTATCCCGCAGCCGTGGCAGTGCCAGGGTGACGGTGCCCAGCAGCCCGCGTGCCCTCGTGTCGGCCGCGCCGTCAGCTCAGCCCACGCGCTCCCGGTTTGCAGCTGTGAGCAGGTCATGTGCCGCGTGGCCCAGCAGGCCAGTGAGAAGATCGACCGGTTCCGTGCTCACGCGGCCGGCGTGTTCCTGGCGCTCCTGCACTGCGACCCTCCCACCCCCCACGTGCCCCACCGGGCGGAGCTGGAGCAGCTCTTCCCCAGGTAGGTCCCGCGCCCGCCTCCCCCACGCCTGGCCCCTCCTGCCGCAGGGCAGCGCGGGGAGCCCGGCCTCCTTCCACTTCCTCTCTCGCAGGTGCGACGTGGCCTCCGTGAACTGGAACGCGCCGTCCCAGGCCTTCCCTCGCGTCACCCAGCTCCTGGGGCTGCCCGCCTACCGCTACCACGTCCTGCTGGGGCTGGTCGTGTCCGTGGGTGGCTTGACGGAGTCCACGGTGAGGACGCCTCTGCGAGGCCGGCCCTTCTGCTGGGAGACTCCAGGGCTGAGCCCCCACCCTTTGGAGAACATTCGGTTCGGGGTCAGGGGTCCCGCTGCCCCTGTGACCCGGGAGGCCGAGCGGCCTGTGGCGTGGTCGGCCTGGTGGAGGTGGAGTTCCCCAGGCCCCGCCGTGGCAGCTCTGCCGGGTGCAGTGGCGCCTTTCGGGGGCCTTGCCGCTCAGCACGTAAGCTCGAGCTGTGCTTGTGTGTTGGTTTAAACCGTTTTGGTTTCCGTGTCGCAGCTGATCGCCCTACCGTACAGGGAGCAGTGAGTCTTTCTTACGCTTTTTCTGTGGGACGTTTGGCACTTGCACCTGCACACAGCGCGCGGCGATGAGCCGCCTGTGCCCAGCAGGGGGCGTCGCTGCTCGGGCGGTCTCAGCTCCTGACACCCACACGGCTGGGTTTGGGGGAGAAATCATATAGTTTACCCCGTAGATATTCCTGTGCGTCTTAAAGTCTGACCACAACATTTGTACCACACACGAATTTCCTCAGTGTCTGAAATGGGCCCGAGTTGGGACCAGAGGTCCCCGTGCCGTGCAGGGTCCATGTGCCCAGACGCTGGCCTTCCGCAGCCCTCCCTGCCCCCCCCGCTCCTCCTGCCCTTTGTGTGTGGTCCTGTGTGCGCCAGCCTCCTGCGCAGCCGGTGCCTTGTGGTGGTCTGTGTGCGCTCCTGGGACCTGCCCACCCTGCTCCAGGTCAGCCCGGGACAGCCTGGCGCTCAGTGGCCGCGTCGGGCTTCCCGGGCCAAAGTTGGGCCGGTCTCCACGACCCTCCCTGCTCCCCCGGCCTGCTCCTCTGGTCACAGCTGCGCCGAGTCAGCCTGTGTACTCTCAGTTTCCGTCTGCTCAGAGCAGCAGTCGTGCCCTGTTGGGGCCGGGCGCCCCGTCTGTTCCTCAGGGTTCAGGGCCTGTGTCCGACCCGCACACGCTGCCCGGCTCCTTTGGGTTCTAGACCCGCCTCAGCCTGCGTGGCGCCAGGCGCAGCCTGTGTCTGTGGGGAGGGTCTCTCCATGCCTCGTCACCCTGGGCCATGCTGCCGCATCTGGCGAGTTTGCGACACGTGTGAGAGTTTAGGGTGTGCCGTTCCCTGGGAAGCTCAGCGCCCGCTGAGGGTTTGTGAGGTCCTGCGTCTGTGGTTCAAGGTCATCCAGCTCTAAAGCAGCCGCCCGAGCTGAGCCACGGCGGCCAGTGTGGGCGTGGCCGGGGCGCCCTCGCTGACGTGTCCCCGCTCCGCAGGTCCGGTATTCCACGCAGAGCCTCTTCGCGTACATGAAGGGCATTCAGAGGTACCCCCAGGCCCTGGAGAGCTTCGGCGGGACCCTCCTGCAGGTCTTCGAGGACAACCTTCTGAATGACAGGTGAGCGTGGCTCAGCCCCGGGGGCGAGGTAGAGGGCGCCGTGCCTGTGGCCTAGGATCCCCCTGGTCTGCGGGGCTCAGCTCTGCTCGCCGGGAAGGTGAGGCAGAACGGGAAGGCCCCACTCCGTTTGAGCTACACTGAGCTACACACTTAAAATCCACACACCTCACACTTTCTAAATCATACCTTAGTGTAAAACTTCTAAACATCTGACAAGTGTTTCTCCAAGGAAATAACCCGTCTCCCTCCATCCATGGTGGACTTGGAGACCCGGGACGAGTGGGATGCCTAGGTGGTTGCCGGGCAAGGTGGTTGCCGGGCTAGGTGGTTGCCGGGCGAGGTGAGGCAGAACGGGAAGGCCCCACTCCGTCAGCGGCTGGCCTGGGTCTCCGCGCCCTGGGTCCTGTGCCTCCCCCACCTGTGCCTGGGAACGGGAGAGGGCCGGGTGCCGGCTATGAGCCAGGTAGAGCAGAGCACGCCCGTCCCCTCGTGTGGAGCTTGATGATTCTTTGTGTGTGGAGCACGCTCTGTGGAGACGCCCAGCAGACGGCTTCTCTGCCTGTGGCTTTTCCCTTCCTGACAGTTCCTGTCGCGGGGGAGTGCTCGTGCATTGAGGAGCTCCGGAAAGCGCTGCCTGGTACAACGCACGGAGACTTTGGTTTCTTCTAGATTTATAGGTTTTAGGTTTAATATTCAGACTCAAAATCCACTTGGAGTTAGATGTCATGCAGGGCACAGCTTGGGGACTGGCAGGTCCGTTGTTCCAGCACCGTTTGTTAGACCCTCCTGTCTCCGCTGTGCCACTTTTGTACCTTTATTAAAATAAATTAGCTGGGCACAGTGGCGCATGCCTGTGGTCCCAGCTACTCGGGAGGCTGAGGCAGGAGGATCGCTGAGCCCAGGAGCTGGAGGCTGCAGTGAGCTAGGCTGACGCCACGGCACTGCAATCTGGAGACAGAGCAAAACTCTGTCTCAGTAAAAAGAAAAAAGAAAAATCATAGCTACACAGCTACACGATAGCTTTGCTGTGATGTTTGAAACCGAGTGGTTCGGCCTCCAGCTTTGTGCGTTCTTCCGAAATAGCTGCTCTGTCTTTTCTTGATCTTGTGCGTTTCTGTATCAATTATAAAATCAGGCTGCCGGCTCTGCGGTGCCGTGTCAGGGTAGGTTGGGGTCGCTAGCAGAGCCGGCTCTGCGGTGCCGTGCCAGGGTAGGCTGGGGTCGCAGAGCCGGCTCTGCGGTGCCGTGCCAAGGTAGGCTGGGGTCACTGGCAGAGCTGGTGTGGCAGGAGGGGCACCGCCCCTCGAGTGGCGCCTTCCGTCCCCTCGGCCGCTGGCATCGTTTCGCTCCTCCCAGGGTGTCTGTGCCGCTGCTGAGGACCCTGGACCAGATGCTCGCCAACGGCTGCTTCGAGGCCTTCACTGCGGAGGAGGAGTAAGGGTTTGCTCGTTCACTGCGTTTCTGGGGGAGCCCAAGTAGCTCACGTTTAAAGAAAGGTCATCCAACCCAGATCGGAACCCCAGGAGTCCATCCCAGAACATCAGGGCCAGTTTGCAGCCGCCTGTCGGCCCCCCAGGCCCCCACTGGGCCCTGCCGGCCAGGGGGCGGGAGCCTGCAGGCCTCCCCCGTGGGCTCAGGGGCAGCGAAGGGCCCGGGCAGGGCTGGTGGAACAGCGCGCAGGGAGGGTGCAGGGCTGGGCTGGGGCCGGGGCGCGGGAGGCTGTTTCCTGCCCCCCAGGCCTACTGCATGGGGTCTGCTGCAGCCGCCTCGGGAAGCCCCTGAGCCGGAGCTCTGACCCAAGACGTGTCCCACGCGAGGGCCGCCAAGTGTGGGCGGGCAGAGGGGCCTGGTGGACACGGGCGGTTCCTTTGACCCAGCAGGAGGCGCTGGCCTGGGCTGGGGTGTGTGCCCCTTGGCGTCACATGGCACTCGGGCCGAGTCCTCTTCCGCTGGGGTCAGTCACTCAGGCCCATGCAGTCACGCTGTGACCGCCGGATACACGAGAAGGGGCGTCTCCTCAGCTGCACTCGCTGGGGGAGGGACCCATTCCTGCAACCTGGCTGGGTGGGGCCCAGGGGGCTGGCCCTCTGTCACTTGGTGGCCGCAGCTGTCAACCCCATGGAGCGTGTCACGTGTGGCCTGTGGGTTCCCCTGAAGCTCATCTCTAGACGGTCTGTTCTCCTTCCAGCCACCCCTTCTGCGTGAAACTGCTCGCGCTTTGCAAGGAAGAAATCAAGAGGTCCAAGGACGTCCAGAAGCTGCAGGCCAGCATCGCAGTGTGAGTGCTCGGCGCTCCTGGCGGGGACGGGGTGGTTTCCTCACAGGGCTGCCTAAAACTGCGTTCCCAAGTCCCCTGGGAGCAACCTCAGTGGAGACCGAGGTGCCCAGGTGGGCAATGGCAGCTGCGGGCGTTCCCGCAAAAAAAAAAGAGAGATGTATGGGAGGTGCAGTTCTGCGGCGACGTGCGGAGGCAGGCGCTCCTGCAGCTGTGCCTGCTGCTCTGCCACCCCTTCCCCCTGGTGAGCCCCCTTCCCCTGGTGAACCTCCTTCCCCTGATGAAACCCCCTTCCCCCCGGTGAGCCCCCTTCTCCCTGATGAAACCCTTCCCCTGGCGAGAAACCCCTTCCCCTGATGAGAACCCCCCCTTCCCCCTGGTGAGCCCCCCTTCCCCCTGGTGACACCTCCTTCCCCCTGATGAAAACCCCTTCCCCTGGTGAGCCCCCCCCTTCTCGCTGATGAGAAGCCCCCTTCCCCCTGGTGAGCCCCCCCTTCCCCTGGGAGACCCGCCCTTCCCATGGCGAGAACCCCCCTTCCCCATGGCGAGAACCCCCTTCCCCATGGCGAGAACCCCCCTTTTCCCTGGTGAGAACCCCCCTTCCCCTGGTGAGAAACCCCCCTTCCCCATGGCGAGAACCCTCCTTTCCCTGTGCGAGAACCACCCTTGCCCTGGTCGAGAACCCCCTTCCCCTGGCGATGAACCCCCCCTTCCCACCTGGCGAGAACCCCCTCCTGCGGCCCCCTGTGGGACCCCCGCCCCCCACGGACTCCGGCCACCCCCCCAGGGGTTCTTGAAGGGATGTTATGTCCCTACGATTTCCATTCAAGCCTACAGGCCGAGGTAGAGCAGGCCTGCACTTTATTTTGGATGAACGTAAACT